TGGAGAATTTTCAACGTTATCTGTTGCTAATGCTCTACTGTATGCCACCAATGTCGGTTACATGGAGTAAATTTCCCCTGTGAAATCACTCTGGAGAGGAGAAGGTGATGGGAAGAATGCGGATGGACTTGTGTGGAAGTTGTGGCAAGTGGCAGCAAAAGAAAGCAAGCCCAGTCAGGACTACAGTTGGGACCCTCGCATTTAATAAGTCGAAATGTCCTTTTTTGTATCGCCGATTGATGCCTAATAAATGCAATCGAGGCTCGCTAAAATTACCGCATTGGGTCAGCCCGTTACGAGTTTTTTGGGTCTGGGCCAGTATCCCTGCTATCGTTGGATCCATCTCAACCTTCACATTGTATGATCATGATTTTCGGACGTTTATTTCCAAAATCCAAATTATTATACTACCTCCGGTCTTAATTATAAAACCTTATTTTATAATTAAGATCGAATGTAGTAATTTCTTTTATGAAGGGAAAAAAAAGGATGGAGATCAGTTTGATTTTATTTTTAATTTAGAAGCTGCTTTCTTCAATTACATGGAGATTGGAGAATATCAAGGGAACATGTGTATCTTAGAATGACAATTATTCTGGCTCAAAAAAATGACAAGTATTCATCTGATACAAAGCTCAAGAACACTTGGTGGTTGTCGTAGGATCTGTTTGTAATGATTTATAAATAACTTTTCAATAGTTATTTGAGAAATACGATGTAGGTACAGGGAAAAAAAATTATTTTGGCTTATATAAAGCATATTTATAAGTGTTTATTTAAGTGAAGCACGTGATCTTTTAAACATCACAATGTCGTATTTCCGGATCTCACCTGTTTCACTTCTTGTTTTCTTTTCTCAACTTTTTTTTTTTTGTGGTGGGGCGGGGAGGCGGGGGAGTGGGTGGGGAATTTTCCTTCACATTAGCAGAAGCCCACTAGTCTAATTCAAACGCTATGAGCAGAGTTTAGAACAATGAAGCACATCTCCAGTTATTCAGGCCCATATTTTAAAAATCCAGATATTTCAAATGAAAAAGTACCATGTCAGTGATTTTAATATTTTTCTTTGTCCTTTAAGGAAGTCAATGTATTATTATTATCCTACGAAGGAACGGCGACGCAAAAAAACAAAAAACATGAATCCAAGCTATCAAGTTCTGTTCTCTTGTTCAGGTTTAAAAAGTTGGTTCCATTGGTTGAAAATAAATGCTGGTAAACCAAGTAGTATTTAATGTGTGTGCGTAAAGTGAAACAAACTATTATTGATGTGTCTGTTTTTATTTCTATTTTTGTTAAATATTGAAACATCTCTTGTTTTGCTTGGGTCACAGACTCAGAGGCCATGATCGGAACGGATCATCGTTCAACAATTGGGTTGAGATGAATTCAACCTTACCGATCTACTTTGCCTTTTTGTTTTTTGTTTCCCCCAAATGAGGGTTGCGGTGAGGCGTAAGAATACTTGAATAGCTCTCTTCTCTAATTTTGGGTTTTCTGGAATTAAAATGTGGCCCACCGGCGCAAGTGTAAAAGGGAAGACTTCAATACCCGTGCGCACAAGCTCCAAAATCCATCTTTAACCATTATTTCAGTATTTTTAGCTTCATAACCTAGCACCTCGTATGACTAGTACATATGCATGGATTCATAAAAACAAATGTTCATTGTAACGCCGGGGAGGGGGGGTGACTGCTTGGAGAATCATTTTGCAGCAGGGGTCCAATGAAGTGGCGCATGTAGGGCGACAAAGTTGATGTGGATGGGGAAGAGGACTGAAGAAAGAAAGTAGAAACGAGGTACGTGAGAGAACGGATAGCAGGTAGGAAAGGAGGGCTGGAAGAAATGAAAGGGGAGAAAACTGAGAGAGGGCGAGTTTTAATTTAGGGGAAACGGGGGAATGCAGAGAAATGAGATACTGAAGAGAGACAAAATCCTGATTGTATGGGGTATGCTACTCAAATGTAAATTACGACTCATACAAGAGCAAAGACACACACAAAGTGAGAGGAGAGAAGAAGCTGGGTGGGGAATTGGGAAAGGGAATGGAAGGGATGGGCCACACACAAAGTGAGAGGAATGATGAAAGGGAAGAGAGGGGAGGGCGATGCTAAAAAGGCTGCCATAAAGCATCCAAATTCAAGCTCAGAACGCAACACTCTCTCTTTCGCCCTCTCGTCTTGTCACTGTCCCCGCCTGGTGTCCCCTTCCTCTTTTAATTTCACTGTGAATATATGCCTCCTTCTCCATATCTCACTGGATCCCTCCAAATCAAAATCCACACATAGTCACACTAAGCATACCCCAATTCTCCATTTCACCCTTTTAGTACGCCTCTGTCTTCCAGGAATCATATTTACTCTTTATCTCCCTACTTTATTCCCTCCACACTACTCTCCACGGATCCATCCATGTTCATCTGCTTTTTTAAGTCACTACACAACAAAAGACCACCCCAGCCCCAGGCATTACCACTGAGGGCCTCCCCCCCCAACCAAAAGTCCCCCCCTTTTCTGCTAACATCGTACTCCTCCCTTCCTCACTTTTTTTCTCCTAATTACACGTAATAATCATTCCATATGCGCCTTCTCTCATTATATGTTCAACATTTGTAGCGTTCTTCCTGTTCAGCTATTCTCAGCAAGAACGGGTTGTCCCGTCCATCCGTGATCAGTGAATCATATAATTTCATTTGGATGTAGTAGTATCATCTTTTTGAAGAGAACTAGACTTGACTGATATTCAGGGTGGTTGATGATTAATGATATGATGTGAAGTGGGTGTTGAGAGCATGCAGGAAGATGGGAAAGTTATTAATTAAATATGAGAAGGAAGAAGGTAACGAAAATGGATGAAGTGGAGGGATCATGGGAAGCAAAGGAGGGAGGAGAGAGAGGGAGGGGGGAGGGGTAATTTCGGGGCAGCTGACAAGAAAATGACAGCAGTCGGGAAGGGAATCCCCATTGTACTGCCTCTTTGTTGTTTGCTGCCCTCACTCACGTGCCCCCCCTCCTCTCTCTCTCTCTTCTTTTCTTCGTTTTACACCAATCTCTTAATTTTTCACACTGCCATTGCACCCCCTTATAATTGTTATTCCCAATTCAAAGAGGTCTTGCTTTTAAAATTTCACACCATACGTGGGAGGTAGGATCAAATTGTTTTTTTTTTTTAACACTAAACATTCTACCGGTCCAAAAAAAAAAACTAAGCATTCTACATATACTTCTTTTGATTCTGACACAAGACCATCTTCTATGAGTTTTAGTATAAAGCCTTATATTTTCAAGAAAGAATGTCATTCGTTTTGATAATTTCTATGTGATGAGCAATTTTTCAATGTCTGGGTTTTCTAGGGAAAAAAAAATTAAAAACATCGACTGTTTTGAGCTAAATTCCAAAGAACGGGGAAATAAAGTGGTGAATGGTGATGAGATGGGAGACAGGTGGGAAAATGGGGGGAGGGGTGGTCAGGTGGGGGGATGGAGCACCGTGTTGGGAACAATAATAACAATTAAGATTCATGTGCGAGCATCCGTTGGTTGCCGGAGTCTTCACTTCAATCATGAAAGGGGGCTTCTGCATCCACTGACAAGGAAGTGGTCCGGCGACATTAATTATACTAGTCGCCGGATCACCGTTAAGGGAGGAGGCAGGCGCCATATGGGTTTTGGGTTTTGTTGATAACCAGAATGACTTCAGAGGATGAAAAAAGTTAGCCATTTTAAAATGACAGAAAAAGGATTAAAGTTTTTTTTTTTTTGGCTAACAAGAGTGAATGGATGAAAATGCTCATGTGTAATTCACGGGCGGTTGAATTGGAGAGGGCAGGAGATGGACTCCAGGTCATGGGAAACTAAGTTGTAAATATTAAAACATTAATTGCAAAAAAAAAAAAAAATCAGCTACGAATCATCTGTAAGATTGCGGAAGTTCTAGAAATGTTAATAGTTTAATTGAAGACTCATTCTGCAACCTAATCTTTCACTATGCACGACTAAACCCCTAATGTCTACAATTGAGCTTCCACAATTTAAGAAAACTTTCAAAATTTATAATTTATTTACAACGGAGCTTCTACGACTTGTAACTTATCTTCCCCGCTTGTAATTGGATTATCAGTCATCCTACATAGAAGCATTTTCGACCGTTTATATTTTTATTTTAAAATACCATAATTCTTTTGAGATACTATCTCCTATTCCAATTTGAAGATCTTATTCGTAGTTTATAAATGAGATCTTATAATTAGAATTGGAGGTAGTAATTAACTTCCTTTTATGGTTTTTGTAGATTTTCCCAAGACGATAACCAAAAAAACGGATGGAGGATGGCATGGTTTGGGAAAAGGTCACATGGAACTGTGGAAGGGCGGGGACAAGGGGGTACATGCGCAACACCCCCACAGGAATCGCGTAGACCTCACTTTCATCTCGCCCTTCCAAAGGGGTGACGTCATCTCCTGTCGTCGGAGGAGGGCACGTAGGCATCTCGGCTCCCATAAATGCCGACATGTTAATTTTTCCGATGTGAAGCCCGGGTCCTAAGTTTATCCCTTCCGCCCTCCTTCCTTATGCATGCAATTGCCCTCTTCTTTTCATTCCCGTTTTACCCTCCTCCTCGCCCTTTTTTTCATTGTTTTCAGCATTTTTATTAACCACATCTACCGTACGGATAGCGTGCCACCTTTTCCTTTAAAAAAAAAAACAAGCTCAAAGTTTTAACATTTTTTTAAACCATAAGCAGCCACGTAAATAAAAATATCCATAATTGAAATGAGCGGCCAAGATATATTCTTTTTTAAAATATAATTGATTGATTATGCCATTTGTGGTGTTGGGATCCAGATTCGAGGAGTAGATACTTTTACAGATATTTGACAAAAAAAGGGTAAAATGTCTGAAACAGTGAAACATAATAATAACCGAGCTGTAAAATGGCGAGTACGGGAAAGGGCTTGGAAGTCAAGAGCAAGACACCTCTTTTGTGCAGACCGAGAATTGATGACCACATCCTCTCCCGCTCTCTTATCTTCGACTTCCACCTCCAACAAATTAATGTTTTTGTTTTATGTATTCTTCATCCTCATTATACAGCTATTTTATTAACCCATTTATGTTTTTGTATTTTACTTTGATTTCAATTCATCCTCCTTCTAATCCTCGGTCAGATTGCTTCTGTTTTATCACTCCTCTCTCCCTGCTCCTGTTGATCACCTTCCGTTTCATTCTCCTGCATAAGCTGTTCCCTAATTTACAAGCTCACAACTTACTGACCGTAAGAATTTAAAAAAGTGGACAGGAAACATGGAATTTGAGGAGCAAGATCAGGAGCACGAAGAGGCAGAGGAAGAAATGGGGATTCCCATGCCCCCGACTAGCTACGACTCGGCTCCCTCCAAAACTGGTGCTGCCTTCGGAGCCGAGGGAGGTGCATCCGCCCTGACTGGGGGCAGGAAAGGCGGTCAGACGGGAACAGTCAGGTACAGGGAGTGTCAAAAGAATCACGCCGTCAGCATCGGCGGCCACGCCGTTGACGGTTGCGGTGAGTTTTTAGCGGCGGGAGAGGAAGGCACGCTTGACGCTCTCAAATGCGCCGCCTGCAACTGTCACCGCAACTTCCACCGCAAGGAGATCGAGGGAGAAACTAGCTCCTTTCACCTGCCGCCGCAGCCGCACCACCCCCAGTACCACCATCAATTTCCCCACTACTACCGCGGTCCGCCACCGCCAGGCACAGGATACCTCCACCACCACCTGACAAATCCGGCGATGGCACATCACCGGCCTCTGGCTCTGCCAGCCGCGGCATCCGGAGGGGGACTGAGTAGAGAAGATGAAGACATGTCCAATCCGAGTAGCAGCGGAGGCGGGGGTTTCGGCGGTGGGGGGAGCGGTAGCGAAAGGAAGAAACGGTTTCGAACGAAATTCACGCAGGAGCAGAAGGAGAAGATGCTGGCATTTTCGGAAAAGGTGGGGTGGAGAATCCAGAAGCATGACGAACCAGCGGTGGAGCAATTCTGTGCGGAGACCGGTGTCAAGAGACAGGTACTCAAGGTTTGGATGCATAATAACAAAAACACTCTCGGTAAGAAACCCTAATTTCAATTCTTTCTTTTCATTTTTAAGTCCACAGGAGATGAGTGAGACGACGAGAGAGTGATGAAAAATATATGTACTGAGAAATTTAATTAATGCTAGGGTTCTTACTCCTGCTCATTATTTCTGCTTTGCTTAAGTATTGATATTAGTTCTATGCCATTTGTTTCATGGTTTTTTTTTTCTTCCAAACATAAATTTTGGGTGGATTCGGATGGTGATTTCTGGTATGATGTGTGCATAAAACCACCATTGAGCTGGCTGCAAGTCTGGTTCAGAATATGAGGAAGTGTAATTAATAGCGAAATTTCAGGGAAGAGAGACAGAAAAGAGTAAGTAGGAAGCTAGTTATGGAAGAATGAATGAAGAAGGTGGTGATTTCATGTGATAATGAATGTAGGAAGATGAATCCATGGGAATTCAACGTGCAAAGCATGCAAGTGCGAAGCTGTTCCACTTCGGCTTTGTGTTTTTTTCACATCTGTCATCTTTTCCTGCTTTCCCTCCGGGCTTTCTCACCGCTTCAGTTTCTCATTTCTCTCTCTTATTAAACTCGCAACCTCTTCCTCCTTCGCATTCTAGCTACATGCTTTCCACATACGTCACCGGAAAAAATCACTTCCTACATATTCAAACCAGATCCAATCTCAGTGATGACCATCTTCTGCGAATTTACTCTCCCCTAAAATACTTTACTGTGTTAAATAATGGAGAGAGAACGGGAGATGTAAAGTCCAAATCGGACCACATTGGTGTATGACTTCCTCCAACCTCTACCTGGGATGATCTCTTCTCAACTTTATTCTATAATTTTCTTAAAGATTGGCGGAGCTAGAATCCCGATCTCACATGTTGCGCGTGAAAATGAGCCATACATTCTCGTCCGTTGCAACTGTGGATGTTCATTATTCTTGACATTATTTTCTAGTACTTGGGTGAACGAGGGATACCTCGTCCTCCATTAATTGTTCTATATGTACAAACTCCCAATAAATTTGCTCCTTTATGTTGGTTCGCTGTTACTTTATCTTTCCGGGGCCTGAAAAAAATTGAGAGCTCTTGAATTTGAGTCTTTTCAAAACATCTATTCGGATGCATGGTGCGGGAGAAACAAGGAAGGACTGGACTGGTCGAACAAAGTTAAGATGGAGACATTCAAAATACTCGTACACTGTTAACGTGAAAGTCGCATCATTGATCGGAGCAGCTAGCAGATGTGCAGTGTTTTATATATGTGTATATATATATATATATAATTTTTACAGTTGCGAGGTGAACAGCGCATTCTTGTTACTGTTTTGTCTTCTTCTCTTGCTTTTAATGTTCATTATTACTTACATTATCTCGTTAATCATACCTCGAAAGAAAAGACTCGCCCAAAAGTTACCACATTTAGTTTTAAGTTTAGCTTCAAATGCTGCTGTCAACATTGAAACCTCCTGTGTCTAACTTGTTCTTCTTCGATCTGTTGCGAAAGTTTTGAGTTTGTCAAGTTAATTCAGTTTAGTAAGCATATTCTAATTGATGGAATCGAATGGACGTTGAGCACAACATATTAAGATGTTTAGTTTTAGTAGCTCTGATTTGATGCATGTGCACATCGCAAGTGCGTTATATATGCGCATGCATGCATGCAGTTTTATATTTAATTCTGAAAGAACGATAACCATCAAATCAAACCATGTAGTTTTCATGGGCTAATAATTGATATATGGAGTTTTGTTTTCTTTCTAAAAGTGAGATTCTCTCCAAAACCACCATTTTTACCTTTCAATTAACAACTCTGCCGCTCACACTTGCTAATTATGTCAATCCGAGAGTCGCACGTATATATGACTTATATATACTGTCACTGTGCAGCATATATGCGACGGTGAGGAAAGCGCACTCATTGCATTTACAACTTACATGGACTATTGGGATGAATTTGGTCTGATTGATCATTGGGAATAATATTTTATCACAATAAACTAATAATTTACATCTAGTTAACCATGATTTTGTTTACAGCACACCGATGATTAGTTAGTTGAGCTGTCATTAGAACCGTAGGCATGGTTTAAAATGGGAGACAACGGGGGAGACGATCGAGAAGTGCACAGTATGACAATATGAAGGTAACTGTGCAGATAGAACGCAGTGGAGATGATTAAGGGTTTATTTGTATTTACTTGTGATAAATACTTATAAGCATTTTTATGTAAGACGAAGTAAAATTTTTCTCACACAATTACCTCGTATTCTGTAAATTATAATGGAGCTATCTCTGAATGATGTTATTGCAATTCCAAATGAGGATTGGCCGGGTAGAGGCAGAGCAGCAATGATCTTCACAGTCTGTAAATGGAACGATCGAATTATTTATAGTTTCGTGCTCAGAGAAACAGCAGCAAGAGTTATTTCTTACAGTATCTCCGCATTATTCAATTTCCTGTGTTTGCCGGGGCAGAAAAGCCGCAATAAAAAGAATGTTTTTTTTTTTTTTAATCTTTTAGCATTTTTCCACCAACAGTATTCGCAGTCTCATCGCGTCTGGACGATTCTGTTATTAACTTGTGTGAATTAAATTAAATTAGCCAAAGTTTTATTAACTTTAATTTCTTCAATTAAGTTCTAATTATAAGACCTAAAAAAGTTCTTATAATTAGGAACGGTAGTACATGATTTGTATAAGATTTCCTGAATGCATCATATCGAAACATGCACAAACGAAAGTAAAAGGAGCAAATAACGTATTACTAAACATGCTGAAGCGAGACTTTAGCAAGGTGGATACAAAATAGTTTGAGATAGAATGAAGTGCACAGGGAGGGGTGTGTTGTGGGGGAGTGGGGAGGGAGATGAGGGAGTGAGTGAAGATCCTTGAAATGAGGGTGCAAGTTATGGAGAGCGAGAGGATCCTGAGGCAATGGGCCTACCCATGATTTGATATTCTCAGGATGTGATAAATAATGACAGTTGTAGTTGGGCCACACGTGTCAGACCCATAACTCCTGGCCCACCCTCTTCCTGACCTTTTCCCCCGCTGTCCTCCCCCGCGCCAGCACCTCCCTCTGTTCCCTTGTGGGCCATGCCGAACAAGTCTCCCCCCTGCTCACTTTTATCTTATTCATCTCATGATTAGTGTGAGGACTGAGGTGGAGTTTTGGTTCAACTGAGGGGAGGAGAGGGGAGGAGAGGGGAGGAGAGGAAAGGAAAGGAAGAGAAAGGAAGCTGTTCTCATAACCACTTGCTTGGTTGGGAATGACATGCGAAGAAATGATAGTCAAATCATTAAATTTGTATTAAATTGGTCAATATTTTTTTCAAAAAAAAAAGACCTTCTTTAAATAATGAGGTTTATTTTATTTTTTTTCCAATTCTGAACATCAATTAATAAGAAGAATAAGATTAAAAAAAAAAGGCAATTAATGAGGTCGCTAGTGCTAAATATTGCTTCTAAAAGATACTCTACATGATAATAAGGATTAGAGAGTGGGTAAATCAATCAACACTGGATAATTTTCTTTTCCCCTCTCCTCTCCAACGTTCCCCATTTTGGAGAGGAAGGTGCCAGCTCCACTTCTCTTCTCCACGAGAAAGGTGAAGCAGACGGTACATAAAAGTCATTAATGTGGAACGAAGAGACATATTTATTATGCAGTTATTCTCCTCCCTCGTCTCTGTCACTGATTCCCAAACCAAACTGATCATTTTTTCCCGTTCACTCAATGCCTGCATTTAGTTTTGCAATGCATGCAACAAAAACACAAAAATGACTCATTTTAAAATTTGTAAATCAATTATATATATATATGTGTATATGTATATATTACGCTGCTTTAGCGGGCCGAAGTAATCCAAGCGTTCTTCCCTGACGAAAAAAAAAAGAGAGAAGCAATGCAAGCGTTGTTTTGCCGCCCCATCATCGAACAGCAGGTGCCCAACTCAACTGTAAATAAAATCAGATCACGTTTCAGATAAATCGAATCAAGAAAAAGAACAGTGACTTGGAAAATAAAGGAAGAGTCCACCGAACGCGTGAAGTTTCTTACCCCGCTACCCTATTATTCTCTGCATGCCCAATTGCCCATCCCCCATCTTCTACATTATTGTTCTCATTTCTTGTTTCCATCGGGTTCAAGTGAGAACCTAACACTATTAAATCGAGATTTAGGATATATTTGAATTAGCGGTAGCAGAAGTAACTTTTTTTCAATCTGACATTTACAAAAGTCAGATTGGGTAAAAGTCATATAGTAAATTGTGATTTTATGTTTGGATTACCCTTTATGAAAAAAGTCAGTTTGAGAAATTAAAAGTTGTTTGAATGATTAATAAAAAAAGTCAGTTTAGATGCAAAATGATTAAAAGGATATAAATTTTATTAAGTAATATATATTTAATATTAAATGTATATAATGTGACAAATATAAAGAAAATATTAAAAATAAAATTATTATAAATAAAGAAATTAATTTATTATTATGAAGAAATTGAAAAAAATACTGAAATACTTAATTGAATATATTTAATGGATATATGTGTATGTATATAAATCAGTAGTCGCTGACTCTATTCTTTTTTATTTTTTTAGAGAGGAGATATATATGTGAAAGAGGTTAGGCAGGCAAAGAATTTGAAGTACAATGATAAATGTTCTCCAGTAGTTTTCTCTACCGCACTGATGGTCTTCACCGTCAAAAGTAAGATGAATAGATGATGCAGCTTATAGAAAAAACCCATTTGAGACAGAAAAGTCAGATTACCAAATCGCTCAACCAAATATCACCATTTCATAAAGCCCAGCCATTACTGCTTGGAAAGTCAGTTTGGACTTTGGACTATCAAACGTGATGCCAACCCTTAATGATGATGACCACGTAGAAGTCTTTGTTTGTCGATATCCAGAATTTCAACCTAATCTTCCATATTCCTCCTTTTTGGACCATCGAAACTACGTTTCCCGTATGAAGAAGTCCTTTAGCGAGAAATTCTTAGGTACTCTCAGAGTACCGAATCATATCAACTCTGTCCAATAAGAACCCTCCACCTCATATAATTTCAACCCACGAGTTATCCGACTCATACCCATTAATCTGTTATTTTAAAATAATAAAAATGCCTTTTCCGGTGTTGCCCCTCTTTCCTCCGTCTCACACCCTCTCTCTTCTCTCTTCAAGAGACTCAAAACTCTCTCTTTTTCTCCTTCGGCCCTAGCAACATATCCAGATTCGCAGCACAATATCAAGTGTGGAGGAAAAGGCACGACATCTTGGACAAGTTATTAGAATACTCTCGGACTGTGTTGTTCACTTCTTCGTCAACCATGGTAACAAGAACATCACAACTTTTGTTGTCAAAATAGTCTCCTTCACCTCTATTCTCAAAATCCTCATCCCCCTATTCATCCTCTTCAGAGTCGGCATTGCTACTACCTGCGAACTCACAGGCACCAAGCAGTGGCGTGGAGGGGGTAAAGTCCCGATTAGCCAACTTGATCCCTCTCGATGAAGCATTCTGGCTAACTCAAAGCATTTCGTAAGAGCGCGGCGGCCGTGGAGATATGCCCATTGTCGATCGATGGCCAAAAAAATGGGAAGAGATTTGAGATAGATGAAGAGAGGGGGAAGAGGCGGAGAAAGAGGAAACTGGGGCAAAAGAGGAAAATTAATTTTTATTATTGTAAAATAACAAATTAATGGGTATGAGTCGATGACATGTGGGTTAAATTATATGAGGTGGAGGATTCTTATTAGGACAGAGTTGATATGATTTGGTACTCTAGGAGTATCTAAGAATTTCTCGTCCTTTAGCAACGGACAATTTACCAATCAACGAGCCACCTAATCAGTTCTGTCGCTTCCCCTTTTGCTACTCTGCCCCACGTCCATAGCACCAAACCCTAACCTTCCACCTCCCGAGTACCAATAGCCAGAGAGAGAGGCGCGCACACACATCCACCTAGAGAAAAACGAATTACACAGAAGAAACTCCACGACCTCACCTGGTTCGGACGAGGAGCAAGAACAGAGGCACTCGTATACGACGGAGAACAGTACAACTCACTCTGGACATTATTTGAATATTTGTATTTATGTTAAATTATAAGGGTTGGTCCTTTTTCTTTGACCTCAAGAATAACGGAGAGTCCGTGCTGCCACAGAATTTAATACAAATCACAAGCACTCTCCGACAACGGATTCCGGCATAATACTTTTCAAATCTCGGACATTGTTGGCCCCACAAAACACCACCGGAATGCAGTGCGGTACTTCTCCGTATTTACCGCTTGTGTGGATAATCAACGCTTCTGGGCCGTTGGCCCGGTAGGCTACCTTGCATATTGTCCCCCACGAAGACCCAGTAAAAAAGGGGAAGGGAAAAACAGATGTCTCCGGAACGAAACACTTTAAGATAATAAGATAATCGCACCATGATGTTCGTTCGATCCACAATAAACAAACTGATTTATACAATCTGGAATTCACATGTAAACCACATCAAATGAGGCACTAATATTTTCCTCCCCAACTTCTAGACCATAAACAATAACAAGCAAGAAATAAACCTGTGACAAACCATATAATCAGTACAAAGGCTTACCCCATAACATGGTACAACAAGCTCCAGACCAGCTCAAGGATTACAAATACAGAGGAAATGAAAAATCCGATGTTTAATAAACACCCAGGATACTTCATCAAACATCGACCAAGTCGTGGGCGACAAGATGACACATGGCGACGGCCTTTGTACAGCCGTGCACATCAGTGAGGTTGTAATGCTCCTTGAATACTTCTAACAGCATCGTCATAATGCAGAAAGCCCATAAACCAAAACTCATGGTTGTCAACAGAGATGATCTGGATATATTTCTCCGATGGTTTGCTTCTACTTGTTGATGGATTCACTGCTCTCAGCTGATGCAATGGAATAACAACCTATGCATGCGCGCAAAAAATAAAATAAGGGGAAGCAAAATAATTCTATAAAATTTAAACTTGTTAAGTAATATATAGAACAGAGATAAAGCATAAGACCTTTGGGTTAGAACTATGAACAAAGGCAGCCTCAACTAATATTTTTCAAATTAAGTTATTGAGAAGTAAGCTATAAGTTACCTCCGCCAAGTAGTCTATTTTAGGATCAATTTGTATTACCAACCAGTCGGGTATACACGACTAATCAAGGAGCTTCCTGACTAGCAAATCTCATGGCGGGAAAATATTCCAACATCATGAATAAAGGTCCACAGAAAGAGAACACTAAACTACAAATATTCACCATCTCAAACAAATATTAATTCTCAATAATCTATTTCCATCTCATAAGTTTTACAATAATTTAAATTGGCAAATTCTTTCTATTCTGTTTCCAGAAAATCAGAGTTTTAAAAAGAGAGACCTTAAACCCTCCCCCTTAATACTTCTATCACAACAAAACCATTCGCCGAAAAAAGTCTGGATAATCAATCACGTATCGACGACACATTAGTCTTCATCTTAAATTTCACATGGCACTGGTTAGCATGTGGGATCAGTTTCTGCATAATCTTACTCATAATGAATCCATCCCTGAAAGTCGGCAGCCAATCTAAGAAGTAAATTAATATGTCCGCTTAATAGCATTGTTTTCTAAAACGTCATACAAATACTACATTTGAATGACTATAATATTCTTGGCAAGTGAAGCCGTTTATAAATATTGAATCAGTTAAATCTGCTAATTTGGAAAAATGTATGTTAAAATTTTTTATTAGAGGATAGTACTACGCAAAAGCCTCCAGAGTACCTTATAATAGCTCCATTGACTCTCCTCGCCAACTTTGTAAGAAAGTGGATTGTCACTGCAAAATGCCAGCTTTGCTGTCGACAGATATAAAACTCCCATCACTGGTCCAGCTGAAGTGGATAGGTAGCATGCAAATGTTTTCAAAAGTTGCTCCTCTGGAACAGTCTCAAAAGTTTGTCTAAAAATCTTTTCATAGCCACCTTCTGCAAGAACTTTCGTTCCCTGAGCAATCCTTCCCACGGCAGCATCAGCAAAACTAGGACCTGTTTTCACTGTAACAAGGACGATCATCCGGTTACAGAGCAGAAAACAATTCAAGCACTTAAACTTATCAACCTAAGAGGCAACAACAAGAGCAGGACCAGGGAGACATGATATGATGCGGGCACAACAACACGACAGGTTACAGCATTTACGATTGAAATGCAGTTTGACGTGTTCTATCATCCCTAATAATAGCTAATTGCCAGCAACTAAAGAAGGGACGACAGAGCAAACTATCGAGCGCAGAAGAAAATTCGAGACAAAAATCTACTGATAACCATACTCAGAAAAGACGACAAGACATCTAAGTACCATTATTTCAGTCTCTATTCACTTTGAAGTTGTTTTTGAGAAAGGCGGGGTCAGGTTTCATTGTTTCAGAGTCACACTTTCTCGGCAAAATAATTAAGGGTGCTATAATACTATAATTTCAGTCTCTTTCTCACAAAAGGGACGTCCATAGTACTGTAGACGATAGTATAACATGATTAACAGTCAACATGTAATAAAAGAATTCCCAACAGCAGCTATCAACGCCACAAGATTCAATACATAGCAGGCGTAAAACATACAGTGCTGCCACATATTCCCAGCAAGATCCTCGGCCTTCTTGGTAGCCTCTGCCGCTTTCTTTCCCCATTTCCCAAGAACATCTTTCACCGAGTCTAAAGTATCTGCACAAAACAAGAATTTTCAGTCATTCTCGACGCCCACGGTCTCCAGACTCAAATGGGACTTGCTTATCTGCAAGTACAGGAGAGTAAAACATGGATTTCAAGTTGGCAAAAAAGGAAAAAAAAAAAAACATGGATTTCAATCCTCACTCTTGACAGAAGATGACGGGGCCGGGGCCGGGGCCGGTGCAGGAGTCACGTACGGATTAGATTCTTTGGGCATAGTAGTGGCAGCATCTTCGGAAATCGGGGCGCGGACTTCGGGGGCGGTAGTGGCGTTGACGGGTTGTTGGGACACCGGAACGGAAGTCCAATTTTCCTGAGGTGGAGCAACATCCTTGGGATCGAGTTTTGGATACGGAGCATAATCTGAGGAGTGAGCATCTTTGGCTTGTGAAAGATTGGATTCTGATGATGACTTGCTGGCGTCGGTTTGTTCAGCACTCATGTTTTATGCCCTGGGGATTTTCCCTGCTTCGGATCGGAAATTTTCAGGATCTCAGCCTATATCAGCGGGGAAGGTGACGCTGATGCAAACCCCGATTTCAAGTACTCCAGACTTCTTTCAACACAGAGTATCCGGGAGAAAAATTTTATTGCGGGAGAAATTCCGGAGACGAGGGACTTCAATTCAAAACTGAGAACATGGGATATCACGAATATGTTCCGGGCACAATAGCCGAATAATTGGACTTCCGTCACACGGTACCTGAAATTGGATGGGATATCAATAAACAGAAAATTTTATTAGCCCGTTAGAAGTTGAGCCCAAATAATTTCCTCTCTTTTGGATCGCCCTTTAAGCCCATTCATTCGCGCACACGCACACTCATATATATACTGCCATAAATTTGAAAAACAAAACAGTGAAATGATTGTGGTGCAAGAGCCGCCCGCTAGGGACCGTCGATGAGAAAAGAGGGCAAAACTTAACGGTGGATCTGCCTTTGGACACGTCACTCGGAAGACCGCGTATATTTCAAAGAGCCAAGCAAGGGGGAATGTTGCTGTGTGAACAACGAATCCGAGTCCGAGTATTGCTTTCCAATTCGCTAACTCTGATTTCGCGGTTGTTATCGTTGCCATTGTTTTGCGACCTCCGTTAAGTTCTTCTTAGCCATCGTTTTTATTTTAGGGTTTCTATCTTCTTCGATGGCTGCCAATTCGCACGGAGGTGGTTCCCCTTTTGGTCATGCTGCCCCTTATCGTTCAAGGTAGCTTTTCTGTTCTTCTTCGGCCAATTGACAAATAAATTCTTTTTCTTGTTTTTTTTTTGAAAGAATTTCCAGGGATTGATATAATTCTTATTCACATATCCATATATGAGGATGCAGAGAGGGCCTCACCACGAGATCAGTTGCAGGGTCGAATGAAATCCAATTGCGTATTGATCCGATGGACTTGGACGAGGAGATCAGCGGTCTACGTGGCCAAGTTGGAAAACTGAGAAATGTATGTTTTGATCCGTTTGACAGGTTTTTCTTTTCTTTTCTTGCCTTCTTAAATGAGTTTTCGCAAAATTATGAAGCCTGATAAGCAACGCTCGCAAGTTATCCAAATTGTGTGACATACCACCTTCATCCTGCTCCAACTCCTTCGTTGGGGTACTTTACCGAATTTGTAAATGCAGTGTCATTGATCCAAATTCATTTGCAAACAACTTACAGGAGTTATTCTACTTGTGTATCCCATGTTAATGGAACCTATTTAGAATTACGTAAGAGAGGAGTCTTGATTTTTGTGGATTATCCAGTCTTGATTCAAACCCCTTTCCCCGTGGCTTAATTTCTTTACCATGAAGGGATGCAAACAGCGAATGGACTTGGATTGAATTATACTATTTGAAACTCAGAAGGGTAGACTACTTCATGTTTTTGGTTCGGAGAAGAATTATGTAAAAATATATGCTTTACGCTTCAAATATCTCCAAATGTTTTGTTTCCCGCCATCCAACAATATATCGCTCCTTGAGGAATATTATATGAATTTTTTTAACAAAAGAATTGGTGATGCTTTTTTGAGTCACATTTCCATCTTATAACTATTTTTTACCGGCTTGACTTGTTATTAAGTTCTGTCCTATTGAGAGTAACATCTCAGGACCTGTTTTGAAAAATAATAACAAGGACATTTAAACTGTGAAAAGTTGTAGAAAGAATTGAAATTTGGGTAGTGAAAAATTGGGTGTTTTAGTAGTGACAGGCCTTGTACTTTAATTGTCTAATCAGGTCCTAAATTGTCATTTTCCCTTTATTTTATCTATTCTTATGAAGCTACATCATGTTTGGAAGCTTTTGTTTCCCTTTCTGCATCCTCAGGTTGTTAGACAACTTAATATTTCTTTGGTGCAGGTTGCTGAGGAGATTGGGACAGAAGTTAAGTATCAGAAAGATTTTCTGGAACAGCTGGTACGTCAATTTTTAAATAATCTCTGTTTGGCTTTTTTTCCCCCTTAGTAGTCAAAATGAAGAGCACAGCATTCCTAAAGTTTCTCAATTATGAATCAGGCAAAATATATTCACCGTAAGAATTTTGATCTTGCTCTACTTTGTGTAGCTAAAATGCTAACCATGGTAGGAAATGTATCTCAATCGGAAATTTAGGGTCAATTGGGTATAATATTAAAGGGAATAAAACAGCAACATGGTGCTATCTATATTTTGAACCTTTGTATTAAAACGCCAAGATAACTCTTTGCTATGGATCTTTACCTTTTTAGAATGGTTGGTAGGACTCTGGCTTGATTTGTGTGAAGAAGATCGTTGAGGAAATGACCGGTATTAGCTGTCTTGTGTGCCCTGGGGTGTTGCTTATAGAGATGAATTTGATTAGAAGTTTGTTCTACATCTTGTAAAATCTATGTATTAAGTCTTAGAAAGTTTCCATTAAAAAGTGGAGTAATAACTTTCTGCTGCTCTTCTCTTTTTAAATGAAAGGGTTCATGTAAAAATCAGCTTGCATGTGACATGGGGTTGCCACCCCTTGCCTATCATCACCCGCCACGGTAGCAGAAGTAAAGTGGTGGTTGAGACAAGGTACAGAAATCAACATTCATATTTTGAGACATCCAAGCTAAAGTGTCAGTATTAGCTTCCGAGACACAAAATCTATGACAACCTCCTGTTTTCTCAAGCACAGCAATTTAGCTGTATCTATTATATCCTGGAATAGATGTCCATTAATGTCATTATATTCGCTGGCTTTTCGCTGATATTAACTTCTCCTTTGAGCTGCATGTTTTTCGTTGTAATTGTTCCATCAATGGTCTGTTGTCTCGTATGTAGCAGAAAACTGTCATATTGTCTTGCCATTTGCTAACATGCCGCTTGTATCTGTTTCACTACAGCAAATAACAATGATAAAGGCCCAAGCTGGGGTGAAGAATAATCTAAGAAGATTGAACAAGAGCATAATCCAAAATGGTTCAAACCATATTGTTCACGTAATTGTCTTTGCTTTAGTCTGTTTCTTTATAGTGTACCTTTGGTCCAAAATGTCCAGAAAATGAGGAGAGGGAGGTTTGGCTGTCTGGTGTTGTGGATGAAGGACATGACTTCAGGGGCTTCTTCGGACCATGAGACCACCCTTATGATGCCTGATTCTGTTGTAAAGAGTATAGCTCTACAATCCTTTAGAGTTTATAGCTAAATGTGTACCTGTAGAGCCCACAGTGATGAGAATGATTAATTTCCTGTGCTGTGCATTGGGGGTGCGAAAACAAAATTTCCTTTTGTATGGCCCGTGATTATTTCTATCCTGAGTAACGTTTTATCTTATGTACAGTAAAATGTGAATTTTTTTTTTCCTAATCACTCAGATGACGGTGTCTAAAACAGCTATCTCATTCATCCTATGCAGTGATACTGGAGAATCATAATGTTTTTCTAATTTTATTCGGAAAAGAGAGATCCCGACCGATAAAACTATTAATATCTATTTGAATGCACAAGAAAATTGTGGAGCATACCCGTTGTAACTCAAAATTTGTTCATCCCCCGACACATGATGACAGCTTAAGGGGAAGCGGAGACATTGGCTTGTATAAAGAATAAAGATTTGATGCCCCTGCCCCGCGCGCGACCATTCCATGACCAGAAAGAATTGACTGTGAACAATCATTGACGGCGATGTGGTTGAGAAAATGGCAAACCGTTAATCTGCAATCGGCTGACTTATCTGACAATGCCTAGTATAAACACTAAAGAATTAAAATTTCAGGTTCATTTAAAGCTTGAATGGTGAAGTTATGAAGTTCATTTAAACAGTTAATCCATCGTGTTTCTGGGAATAAACCTTGAATTATGAAGTTCATCCAAAGCTTTTAGTATAACGTGTGGAGGTTTCCGTGATGGTCTGTTTTCAGATTCGTGTTTGAATCGAAGTTACCCCTTTGACTGCCTCTTCAGAATGTCCTTCAGCTGCCAAGACCATGGAAGGTCTTCCAGGTAAACGCGGTTGGATTTATTTTTATTATTTAAAATGCATGCAATTGATTCCGAGTATTTATGCGATTGAATGGCTGGGTTCCCTTCAGCCTTGTTTCGTTTCCAAAGCATTGGTATTTTACAAACCCTGCATCTGCATAATTAGAGTAAGAATAGACACTGTCATTTCAAAAACATTTGTTCAGGGAACGCAATCGGAATACTAAATGTGATTAAGAGGCGGCTAAATGTAGTTGTCAAAGCAACACGTGGCAACGTGTGGGATTCTCTGCTTTTTTTTGGGCCTTTGGATACGATTTTCTCTCTCTCAAATTGAGAGTATTAGTTGCGTTTAGGACTTCGCTCGTTGATACTGGAACTGGATAGCCAGACCCCTCTCGCAAGTCGGACCTCCACCCATTGCTTGTATCAAAATTCAAACGGACGGATATTTGTCCATAATCATAATTAAAATCATAATTCAATCTTAAAATAATTAACTGGCATCAATTACTCCCTACCAGTATAGAAGCCACGATCCGGCTGGGTAGATTAATTTCCTGATTATCACGTGAGTTCCCAATAGGTTCTCGGAAGAGTAAACTATTCACGTACAGTAAGAACGCGGTCTTTTCAACTTGGATATCACATTTAGGCCAGGTGGGTTACTAAACTACCTGTGTTTCGAGATTTCTGCAACAAAATGCTTTTCTCATTAACACGGGTCAATTGGAGGGCACCGTTTTTTAATTTGTCAGGAATGTTATATTGACGCTTATGACCGAATCTAAGATTTTCTTTTGGCCGATACAAATAGTTTCATCTTGATAAAAGCATATTGAAGTTGATTGAGATCAACTCAATAGCATGTTAGGAACTTTGCGTCCATCAGAGTACTCGAGCGGACAAAAATACCAATTGCGTTTTGAAAAAATTGTCAAATGGATATCTATGGTGTTTTGACGATCGTGAAAGTGTAAAAACAGGGTCAGCACTTGGAAAATCGAGGTGGACTTATAAGACAAGAGAAAATGGTTCAATTCTGAGGAGGAAGGAATGTCGAAGAATAACACAAGCGATGTTAATAGCATGGGATCAAACAAAAAGAAGCTTTTATGCCTTTTGTTTTCCATCCGTCCAAAATGTGCCACCACCAAGTTTCCTTCATCTCAACAGTTCAGCACTCAATTTTGGTCCAACATGCACTCATCTCTTAATTACTGGGAAGATCTAACTGCTGTAAACCAACAAATTAGCATCAATCATTCATTTTTGTCAATTCAATAGCGAAATCGACACTTCCCTTGATAAGTGAGAATGACTTGTAGGTAATTTCTTATCATAATTTATGAAATACTCCTCTAGTCTTATTTATAAGTACTGAGAGAAATTTTTTAGGAAAAATAACAAATAAAGACCCCCTGAATTACTAAAATTACAAGTCACCTAAATAAGTTAAATTACTAAGACGGACCTGATCTCAAATTGTAATTAGCAAATCACACCTAAAAGACTAAAATACCCTTCAGTTACTCAGATTCAATAACGAAGGCAGATGTAGGCGGGAGACCTCTTCTTTCCTTCTTCTCTTCAAACTCCCTCTCCCTCTCTTCTTCTTTCTCTTTCTTCCTTGGGTCGAAGAAGCGTCTTCGTTGGGTCTCCTCCATTGTGAATCGTCTCGTGAGGGGCTAAGAGGGCTTTCGCAACTCCTTGCGTAGGATATCAGTGGGTGAAGACAGGAAGGTGGTCGGTGACGGGGGAATAGAAGATTGGGGACAGTTTTCTGCAATTCTAAAACAAGGAGTGATTGCCACCTTTTTGTTGAATAATGGTGGTCAACCTTGTGGATTGTTTTCTCTGATAGCAAAGAAGAAGAAGGCTAAGTTCTCTAAGTTGTTGATACAAGCTACAGGGTTCACTGGTTTGAATATTTTAAAGATTTTGAAGATGGCCTGGTTGAATACTGTCTTCTTTTTGTTACTTGAATCTGGGAATTGATAATCTCCTCATTTGATTTAGAGTTGTTGGTTGCTGTCAAAACACCTTTGGTTTTTTGTTATTTGACTTACTATTGTCATAATTTTACTTAGTAGTGTTGTAACTACAAATTGGTTAGTTTGATCACAGTAACATGGCATGACAATTTGAAAATGTTGGTATTTTGTTTATGGGCAGAGCAATGTTAACATTTAGTATTTATAGTTGTAAATGGTATCAATATAGATTCATTTAATGTTTTGAAATTCATGACAGACCTCCTCACAGACTTATAACTTCACTTACCACAGTTGTTATTTGGCTTTCCACTCTTGTCAATTGATTTTCATAACTTGTCATTCACCTTACTCAACTTGTCATAAATTACATATCAGAACTTGTCATCTGCTAAAGAAATCTGAAAATTTTGTTATTTGAAAAGAGGAAATTAAATTTTTATAAATTGCTTATTAGAAGTTGTCATTCGCCTTACTAAACTTGTCATTCGTCTTACTCAACTTGTTATTCACTAAAGAAATCTGGAAATAAACGAAATTATAATTTGATATACTTAACTTGTCATATATTATACTTAAATTGTGATTTTCTAAAGTAAAAAACAATCATCTTATGATGATAGAAATGCAGTAACAGAAACATAAAATTTGTTACATTACGTACACATTGGTGGACATTTTGAAGCAAGTGATGAAAGGAAAGTTAAATATATTGGAGGGAATGTAACGATCACTATTGTTGTAATTTCGCTTGCTAGCTAGTGTTGTTAATGCAGACTTTTAACTATTATGACAACAATGCAGTGATAGAAACACATGACAATCTGATAATTATGGTCTTTTTATATTGTGCAAAGGAATACTAATATTTTTTGTTAATCAGTTCTATATTGTAACAATGTAGAACTATTTAATATTGTCCACTTAATTAGAAACATGGTGACAGAAATGCAGTGATAGAAACACAAAAATTCTATCATTTGCCTTACTGAACTTGTCATTTACTAAAGAAATCTAAAAATTCTGTCATTTGAACAAAAAAAATTAAATTTGTATGAAATGCTCATCAAAAGTTGTCATTTGCCTTACTAAAATTGTTATTTGCCTAACTAGACTTATCATAAATTGCTTATCAGAACTTGTTATCTGCTAAATAAATCTAGAAATTGTCACTTGAAAAGAGAAAATTAAATTCATATGAAATGCTTATCAAAAGGTGTCATTCACTTTACTAAACTTGTCATTTGCCAAGGAATTGTGCAAATTGTCATTTTAACGTAGAATCTTAATTTCCCATGAGTTGCTTATCAGAAGTTGTCATACACTTTACTAAACATCATTGGCGAATGACAAGTTGAGTAAGAAGAATGACAAGTTTAGTAAAGCGAATGACAACTTCTGATAAGCAATTCATAAAAATTTAATCTTCTCTTTTCAAATGACAGAAGATATGTAATTTATGACAAGTTGAGTAAGACGAATGACAAGTTGTGAAAATCACTTGACAAGAGTGAAAGCCAAATAACAACTATGGTAAGTGAAATTATAAGTCAGTAGAGAGGTCTGTCATAAATTTTAGAATATTAAATGGATTTACATTGATATTATTTACAACTATAAATACTAAATGTTAATATTGCTCTGCCCATAAGCAAAATACCAACATTTTTATATTGTCATGCCATGTTGCTGTGATCAAACTAACCAATCCATGGTTACAACACTACTAAGTAAAATTACAAGAATATTAAATCAAATAACAAAAAACCAGAGGTGTTTTGACAGCAACCAGCAACTCTAAATCAAATAAGGAGATTATCGATTCTCACATACAAGTAAACAAAAAGAAGATAGTATTCTCGACAATCAAACAATACTATATCAAAAACATATCTGGAAATGAAAGTCGAAAGTCATCGACTAGCATTAATGATGGGTCACCATCTTTTTTGTAATAAAGATTGGTGGAAATGGCCACAACTTTAATCATATTGATAAATGTATAGGTAGGAGATGAATGTTTTTGAGAGGGAGAGGAATGGAAGGAAGAAAAGAAGGAGGGAGATGAAGAGGGAGAGAAGGACAAAGACGGAGGAAAAGAGAAAAAGGAAAGAGAAAAAGATGGGGTGATGGAAGAAAGAGAATAAGGGCATTTCTGTCTTTTTAGCCTGATTTTATAATTACAATTTGAGACTGGGTCCTTCTTAGCAATTTGGTTTATTCAAGTAACCTCTTTGTAATTTTAGTAATTCACGGGTTTTTATTTGTCATTTTCTCAATTTTTTATATGGATGTATAATTTTACACTTCATTTATTATTGTGTTACTTCTCTGTTCCTATTTATGGGGCATAGAGAGAAGGTTTGTTTTGTTCCTATTTATAAGTCATTTCATTAAATTTTTACCATAAATATATTATATTGTCCTTTATTTATTATAATCTAAATAGTTATTTTTTTTAAGTGTATATATTAAATAGGGGTAAAGTTGAAAAGTTATTTTATTTTAATGAAGAGTTAATACAATTTAAGGTTTTCTTTAGTCTATATAAAATATGTTGGAAGTGTCTTATAAATAGGACCAAAAGAGTAACTTTGTTTAAATGAAGTATAACATATATTAAATAAAGATAAAGTTAAAAAATTGTTAAATATTAAATGAGAATTAATAAAATTTAAAGTTTTTCTTAGTGTGTAAAAAAACACTAAAAGTGACTTATAAATAAAATAAAAAAATAGAAAAATATAAGACAAAATTTTATCTTGATCTACTTAGAATATAAACAAAAATTTCTTCCCTTCAAATTCTTCTTTGGGTCCTGGGCGTTGGTGGGGTGGGGTCTAGATCCAAGACGTGTCTCTATTAGGTTCGTGTATTAAATAAACGGATTGGGATTTGGAAAGTAACGTTATGCTCATAACCTAAAATCTACCCCATACAAATACAATTTTATTAGTAGTTTGGATTTAAAATTTTCGACTAATATTTTTTAAATAAAAAATTATCTTTTAAAAGAACTTACAATTACAGTTAAGAAATTATATTTATTTTGAATTATGTATGTATTAAAGAAAAATATTTTTCAAAAACACAAAAATTTAAATCTTTACTGTTTATATTAACTTTGAATGATTAAGATTTAATAAGTATCATAATCCCTGAACCATCTAATTTAAGTAAACTCTGCACGTCAGAATTGTCCCATTTTTTTAGTCATTGCCCAGCGAAAATCAGACTCGTCTTCTTCCTTTCCCCCTGTTTTTCCAACATGGTCTTCCTTCAAGATTTGTGTTTTTTTTTTTTTTTGGTTTAGCGGAGTAGCGGACAAGATGTTCATTGCTTCGAACAATACGAGGCGAAACTCAGCTGCATCATGAAACGAAACAGAGGCTGCAAGAACACGTATTAATGAACAGCAAATGACAAACTTCACAATTCCCTGTCAGTCTCTCTACTCTTCCTCTCGCCAGTTTCGAACAGGGTACCTCAGGCCAACAACAACCTGTGACTCACCATGAGGATCAATGTGCCGGCGCAAATGACAAACTTCAAACGTTAAGATCTGTGCCGATTTCAACACGGCAATAAAAGACACACCCAACACCCATTATTATTGTACTAGCTCTGAGTATTTAATATAAGATTTTGTTTAATTTTTATTTTGATTTTAAATATAAAATTTAATTTATTTCATTTCTCATGTCTATACATTTTTTTCTAAATAATCTTTCTAATAATAATAATTCTAGCCAATACATTTGATTATTAAAAATATTTTAAGAAAGACAACACGTATGTATTATAAATAACTAACTAAACTTATTTTTTTAATCTATTTAAATTAATCAACTAGTTCCTATATCTAGGAAGGGAGTTGGTGTACTTTTACTCTTAACAATACAGAGACACAAAGCCTTTTTAACAGCAAAAATCCTTCTAGCAAAATTTTAGTATTAACATGTACAAAGACCATGTCCAGAAAATTATAGCAACCGTGCTCCTTCCAGCTTCTTTTGCGGCACCGACGGCATAAAAGACAGACAAGGAAACAAGCGATGAAGTGAAAAATTCCAATCCATTCGACTTTGTTCCTTTCAACAGCAAAACCCCATTTTAACATACTCGTACGCAATAGTGTGGAAGAGTGGCGATTTGCACTTGACAAACCTAATTCAAGAAATCCAAGTTTGGAGCCACAGCTGCGGTCAAAATGCAAGAAAATGAAGCTGCGCCGAATCAGTTCGCTGGTGAAGGATAAGGAAGAAAATGGCGAGATAGAAAAGGTCCCTCTCTTTCGCAGCTAACCACTGCAATGTGCAATGCTGGCCGCAAAAATAATAAGGCCACGGTGGCGATGGGCTTGCCGGCTTTCTCTGCGCTTTCTGAGTGCAGCGGAAGGAGGCTTGGCTCTCAGTTTCTTAGCGTCAGTGCGTCCGTTTGACTTCGGGTTGCTTACAAGGTGATGCTAAGAAAAGTATTGGGTGCCAACCGTTTCATCATCGATCCACTCGTTGCCGCGTGTTCTATGAGAGGATGGGAACCCAGGAAACTTAGATGCAGTCAATGATAGTCGAAATGTGGCTGCCGGCTGGGACCAATTATAGGGTACTGCAATCATACCAGGTATCAACAGCGCTCATTTGTCAGATACGGTTGGGCACAGTTTATTAATTTATGTGAATATCGTTAAATATCACTTATTTAAAGTGCAATTAGAAATATAGTTTCTAAACAAGCGTTTATAATAAATAAAAAAATATCAAAAAATGTATAGATAAATATAATAAGAGGGTATGACAAAAAAGATAGAATAAATTATTTAGAACATATTTGAAAAAATATATTAAATATTCAAATAAAATTTTAATTAAAACTTATAAAATGAATAGTATCCTCTCCAGATTTAAAATTTATAAATAGAAGGGAAGGGAGTAATCCATATTAAATTGACAGAATTTGGATAAACTATGATTACCTTTACCTTTCTTCTTTTTCTTTTTTTGGAATGAAATTAAAGCAAAGTCAGTGCATTTATTTCAAATAAACAGTAGGACAGCGACATTTTGAGGAAAAAAATAATTTTAAAAAATTAAATATTTTAGAACAATTCCTAATCTTTTTGAAGTTTAGTGGTAATTGATTTAAATTGTTAGATAATTGCCAACATTGAAATAATTTTTTTTTAATAGTTTAACTTGGAGGAAATTCTCAAAGCTGCTCTATTCCCCGCGGTCAACAGTGAAGATGCTCGGGGTGGGAAGCGTTCAAAATGCCCTGAAACTGTTACATACTCCGAGAAGATGAAAGCAAGAGGAGAAAGCGTTGTTGCGCATGGGAAGCACTGTTTCAAGAAACTGCAACCGCCCAGGTTCAGCAGCAATTCAGGCGGAATTCAAGATCCATACTAATATATTCCTCATGCTAATTTACACTATAAAATAGATCTTATATTTAGGATTTGAAGAAAATATTGGAGTATCATCCTATATATATGTATATGTATATATACATGCGCCGAAAAATGTTTATTATGAGACACACATATACATAAATATTAACACGCCGGTCTTACGTTCTCACAATATAGGGTCGCACACCTAATTGAAGAAGAAAACTGAAAAGCAAGAAAATAATAAATAACAGCAGAATTCATGGATTAGGAATACTTGGAGTGAAGTCGGCCAGAGGGGTGGGATTATTTTCCTTCTTTTTCTGGATCAGTTTATATTCTCCATAGAAGTATGACACAAACCCCCAGATTGAGAGGCCCAGACTGATTCCTTTCTCTGCTGTGAAATTCTCCTTGTAGAACAATACAGCCAATACTTCGGTGACCGGCAGCATCACCGCGATTATAATACCTGAAAGCATTGAAGATGCACAGAAGATAACCCCTATAGCTCCCACAAAGAAAAACTGCCATATGATCGCGCTGCACACCAGCACAACGTAATATGTTGTTTCCCCCAGCCCAAATTCCCTCGCTTCTCTTCCCATCACCTGCAAAATCAACACTCAGTTTCCTCATATATTCCTTTCCAGTAAAGTTGTGATGAAGAGATACAGAGCAGTGAACCTTGAAGTCGTTGTTGACGAGCATCCCAACGGTACAGAACAGAGTGGCCCCGAAGCTCATCACGAACTGAATCTGGATGACGAGCGTGTAGGTCAAACGCTGCCTGCTCTTGCCGTACATAAGCTCTATCAAAGGCAACAAAAAACCGTACAGGGCCGCTGCCGCCAGCGTCAACACGAATCCCAGCACATATTGCTTGGTGGACTCAGCTCGGGGACGATCCCCGGATGAATGGAGAGCCAAGACACCGGCCCCGACGGTGAGCAAGAGGACGGCGTTTACGGAGAAAGGGGTGAAATTCTGCCTGACAAGAAGGAAGGCGAAGGCGGCGGTGAAAGCCAGCTGGGTGGCGATGATGAGGGCGGAAGTGGAAACAGGGAGGCGAGCTAAGCCGTAAGCGTAGAGGTAATCATCGAGGCCGGTGAGAACACCGATGACAAAAGCTGCGAGACACAAGCGCGCGTCGAGGAAGACGAAGGGCTTAGGGTGGCGAGAGAGGCGGCTGCGACTATAAGAGATGAACAGAGGAACGAGGCAGACAGGGAAACCTCCGGTTTCGAGCCAGCTGGATAGCCAGACGCGTTTGCCGCCGTGGAGGAAGTAGAGGCGACTTATGAGAGGGCCACCAGTGGTGCCTAGGCAGAGTAAGAGGCAGTTTAGTAAGAAAAGGACTCTCCTGGTGCTGTTCTTTTGTCTGGCTGACGCTTCACCGTCCTCTCGCATCTTGTGCGTCTCTGTAACAATGCTGATTGAGACAAACTGTTCGAGGATGTGTCGTCGAGATCACCGGAGAGGAGAAGCACTTTGGATATAGCAGTGGATCAATCAACTCCTCTTTGCTTAATGATTTGTATTTTGCCTAATGATTTGTATATATTAATTAATAAATGGTGGCCATTAATTTCTGAAGTTCCTGAAGAATGCCGGCTCCATCTTGTACCCCACCAACCCACCTTAGATGGACATTCTATTCTTGATATTAATTTTAAGGTAAATTTTTGAAATAAATATTAAATTAGTTCAAACAAGAAACATGAATCTTATCGACGGGATCCTTCGGACTGGCCAGTTGTCCTTGTTTATTTTTCGACGTGTTAATGTACTCTCACATAAACATTACACTGTACAACACTGGCGAAATTTAAAAGCTTTCATAAGCTTTTACTAAAATTGCTCGAGGTTTTAGTACGATTTCGTAATTCCTAACTCTTAAATTCATAATTGGCGTGTGAATTCGGCATCTCGATCTTTTGCATTGCTGTTAAAAGAAGGCGACGCAAAGAAGAAAGAATGTGAGTACTGGGTACTATGGTACGGGGCTGGGAGAATTAAGGGGCCACATGCCCGAATGTATTCATTCTTTTTCTGCATCCAAATTACCTTTTCGTCTTTTTCTCTACTGCCATCATAAATTAATCTCTTAAGAGAAAAATGATAAAGAATTTAGTTAACTCTTAAATACAAGCGGTGCAAGTCTCGAAACATATCATTTAAAAATATATACATTTTACTGTTATTATTAATTTCATAAAATATGTAGAGTTCACGGATGCCATTATATCATATAAAATGACAAAATTTAGATGCGATCTTTAGAGACAGGCATCTTACTAGTTTATTGGAAATTTTCTATTATACATATAAAAGTATCTATTATATATGTTGGGATGACTTTTGCAATATTGTGCTTCGAAGTCTGTTGCTCGCGATTTTATGCCCTGGACATTAGGCCTCGTAATTGGTCATGAATTGGTCGGAAAATATATAACGAGCTCAAGAAATACTGGTTTATATAAGGAACTGATTATATTTTTGCCAGGATATAAGGAATTGATATAACTAGCTAAGATATCATGAATATTACAAATGAATGTCATATAGCAGATCGTCAGTGCCACTAATTCAATAATGCATAACTGAGCATGCCGTCATCTTCTCACATTATCTTATCTATAAATATGGTCAAAATATAGTAATCTAAATGTTGCGATTAAATGGTTATAAGTTATAGCTAAATAATATATTATAAATTAATTAATTTTATATAATATGTTATCAGTAATCTATGACCCGTTGCCCTTAATTTATCCCGTTACATATCGATGTAACGATCGGAACATATCTGGGCCCATGATATTCTATTGCTAAATCATATTCTTGCTAAGTCAATGGCACAAGTCTACTAGACTGGCGGAATGAGTAACGGACCCAAAAAAAAAAAAGGTAATTAGTCAGTGGATACAAAGTTTGTACACAATTAACATAAATATTAATATCTGTTTAAGAAAATAACTTGAGGTGAGGAAGGGATGGGATAGCACAGCTGGGTTATTTATTTATTTAGATATTGTGGTGGAGGACTGGATGTGTTCAAGGGAAGGAAGGTGTCCAGTGGTGGTCAGCGAAGCCTATCTAATTATTAGCTACTTCCAATCCACGAGATATGTGCTCCGTTAGTTATTATCTTCCATCTTCGCTCATCTCTCTTTTCGACTGATTTCTGCATATTCATATATAAGTTCAATTTTTTAATATATACGCCCAGCCTTCAAAAATAATAAAACGCCACATAATCGTAGCATCTGGTACTTTCTGTGTGCACCTAAAAACAGAAAAGGAAGCTGGTTGTATTTCTGTAATACAAGATGATAAATGCTGATTTTAATATATTGTTTGATATCTTTTTAGAGATATTTATCAATTAAAGTGGGATAAATTGCATTGATTGTAGATATTTTGAATCAAATATTGATTGCATGAAATTAGAGATTTAATGGGAGATCTTATCATATTTTTATCTCTTTTTAAATAATTGATTTTGGATTTTATGATAGCATCTCATTTTATCTTTTGCAGGCCTTAAAAATAAGGAAATAAAGATCATAGAAAGCTGAAAGGAAGGAAATAAAAAAATGCAAAAAGAAGGAAATTGGAGACACAGCTTGGATGGCATCAGATTATGATATTATCTATATTTTTATGGATTCAAAAAGAGGACACAGAAATTATCCACACGCCTATCTTTGAGATTTGATTTGGATATATATTATATCTCCTCCTTCACGCAGGTATCACAGCCGCCCCCCATTCCATTCCTATATATACCACCGTACACACACTCATATTCACACGCCTCATACCCGCTCCGCACATATACACCAGTTCTCACGCAATCACAAGCGGCGCACCCATTCAATTCTCATATTCCCTCTTCGGCCAAAGACGCACTTCACCCATAGTGGCGCGTTGTCCACCTATTCCACAGGCTTCATTATCATCATCCATCTCTTCCATAACTATCATCATCACCGTCGGCCCCCATTATTTGTATTCTTCTACAAATAATCTTCACACCCACTTTCTCACCAAAGCCTCCATGAATTCTCATTGCTTCAAAAATATTGTGGATTCTTCTAGAGCTATGAGAGGCTAATTCCATTATGCTTCTTGAAGATGGAGGAGTAGCTTGAGCTTGGAGCTTCAACTAGGGGAGTATTTAGTTTTCCAATTAATTTTCTTCTGGACTTCATTAGATTTTTCCTGTGTTAGGAATATTTCATTTGATTTGGGGACTGAGATTATGCGTTATAATTTCTGTTAATTGGATTTTTGCAATTTAATTTGAGTTGTATTACTTGGGATTTGAATTCATATATATTTCCTTTGCATTCATTAAAATTATCTTATCTGGCGCGTTGTTAGATTTTATGATTGAGATGTATTGCAATTGAGTGTCTCCGTGAACATTCTTTGAGAGGGAAACAAGTTTTATTAACTCAATTTAAATTGCACATCAAGTGGTTTTTAAAAGTAACTTAATAACTTGATTACTATCTAGCGTTTAGGGTAGTTAAGTATTAAGTTTACTTGACCCAAACCGTGTTTGGGGTTGTTTTTCTTAACTTGGTGAATTATTTTACTCCCATATCTTTTATTAAGCAAGGATAGCTACATTCTGTTTTCAAGAAGCATTCTCATTACTGATTTTCTAAAATTCAAATTTGCATTTTTCATTCTCTCTTTATTAAAAAAAATACAAAAAAATAGTTTAGATTTAATTCTTATTTTCATAATTAGTTTTATTAATTGAAAAATCATTTTCCAAACCTCTCCTTTTAATTCTGTCACTTAGTTAACTTAGGAATTAATAAAAGGCTCCTCAAGAGACTCGACCCGAGTTGTGCTTTACTGCATAATTTGGTTTTATTTTTGATTTAACCCAAGGCGACTAAAAAGGTTCAAATCAAGTGGCGCCGTTGCCGGGGAGCCAAGTAATTGGTTCCTTAGTAAACTAAGTGTCAGTTTTTTTTTCTTTTCTTTTCTTTATATTTTCTTTGAATTTTTTTTCTAGTTTAGGTTGTATTTGCATATCATTAAAAAAAAAATTAAAAAAAAAATTCTCATTTTATTTTAATTATTTCATTTTTTTGTCTTATTTGCATATCTTGCATTACATTTTGCATTTTTGCACTGATCTTCATTCATTTTCGCACATTGCTGTTCTGAATTTCTTTGTGTATGACCAGAGATAAAGAAACCCTACTTGACGATCCTGAGTTTGACATACCTTTGAAACAACTTAAAAGGAAAAATAAGAAAAAGGGTCAAAAGAGTGATAGGGAACTTCTTTTAGAACAACACATTCCTAGTACAGCTAACCAAGTTTTAGACATGGCTGATCGTACTAAGAATAGGGGTGATGGTGAAAATAGTGGAAATGGAAATAGGGGCAATAGGGACAATAATGGTCATGAGGAAAATAACGGACCTAGGAATAATGGTGAAGATCAGAGGAGTCTTAGAGAAATAAACAACTCTACTGTGAATTTTGATCCTCATGGTTTTTACAATTTTAATGCCAATTTTGAAATTAAAGAAAATTTGATTAATGCTTTGCCTAAATTTTTTGGCCTTTCAGGAGATGACCCCTACGGACACATTGAGACCATGATGATGGTGTGTTCCACCATGAAGCCCCAAGGTGCTGATGTCGAGGAAGTTTTGAGGAGAACCTTTCATTTCACCATGGAAGGAAAAGCTAAAGAATGGTTAAGAACACTTCCTCAGCACTACACTACACTTACGTGGGAGCAACTCAAGACAGCATTTCTTGAAAAGTTCTTTCCTGCATCCCGATCTTCTAAGCTTAAGAAAGCTATTTTTGGTGCACAACAAGATGAAGGAGAATCGTTTTATGAATATTGGACTAGGTTTCTCACCATGATGGCTCGTTGCCCTAATCATCAGATTTCCAAATCTAATTTGGTTCAGTATTTCTATGAGGGTCTTTTGCCACTTCATCAGAGAACTATTAATGCTGCTGCTAATGGTTCGATACTCGATCTCACTCCACAAGGTGCCTGGGACTTATTTGAGAAAACTGCTACAAATGATCAACAGTATGGCACTAGAGACAAGCAGTTTGTGAGGGAGGTAGCTTCTTCTTCTTCTACTGATGAATTGAAATTATTTATGGAAAAAATTGATAGAAGACTGGAGAGGCTAGAAAATGACAGGGGCCCAAAACAATGTAATGCCATGGGTACTTCTCAAGCCCTAGTAGCCCCAAGTTGTGAATTCTGTGCTTCCCCTATGCATCTTAGCAGTGTTTGCCCATCCAGAATTGAGGAAGTTTCTGCAATGTATCAAGGTCGCACTAACAATCAGAAATGGGACCCATATTCCAACACATACAATGAGGGGTGGAGAGACAACCCTAGATTTAGTTGGAGGAATAATGAGGCTAGAGGACAGAATCATTTTTCACAAGGCAATGTTGGATCTGGTATTCCTTCTAACCAGTTTCAAGACACCTCAAGAATGGTTATTCCACTCCAGGATAATTCACTCTCTCAACCAAAGAGTGATGAGACCAGCCAACTTCTGAAGAGTATGTCTGCTCAGCTTAATAATATGGATAACCGATTAAGGGAAGATAAGGCCCTGAATGACAGCCAATTCTCCTCTATTGCTTCGATTCTCCAAAAGATGCAGGGTGATAAGGTGAATGATAGTGCTCAATTGACAAACCTTTGTAAAAGGTTTGAGGCATTGGAAATGAAGAATAACACTTTGACATCTCACCTGACTCAAGTTTCCAATACTGTGAGCGATTTGCAAGCCAAGAATGGGGGTGGACTACCCTCAAATACTGTGATCAATCCCAAATCCCTTAATGCCATCAATCTGAGAAGTGGGAGGGTGGTCAAATTCTCTAATGAGGATGACGAAGAAGTTGATGAGGAAATTGAATGTGATAGCCTCCGTTAACTCCTATGAAGCTGAAGCACTCTGAAAGCACTAAGAAGAAAGAACTGATCGACAAGATGCTGAAATTACTCAAGATGGAGCAAGGTCTACTGATGGGCCAGGATCTCAAGTGGCAAGTCAACCACTTCTGGAAGAGATCAATGAAAAAGCTCCAACCACACATGAGAAAAGCGAATCAACTATGCAAGGAGCCTTAACGCCAAAAGGTAAAGAGGTAAAGATTTCTGACATTCCCTTTCCTAATGCTTACTTTAGAGGTAAGAAACTGCATGATGATCAAACCCAAAAGGAAATGATTGAATTCTTTAGTAAGCTAGAAGTAAATATGCCTTTTCTGAACATGATTAAAAGCATGCCTGCATATTGTAAGTTTCTAAAGGATTTGTGCACTCACAAGAGAAAGTTTAGGCCTAATGAAAGAGTTCAACTGAGCTCTAATGTGTCAGCTATCTTTAAGCCTCAACTTCCCATAAAGTGCCAAGATCCAGGTGCCTATACCATTCCCTGTACCATTGGACCAGTGAACATAGCCGCTGCACTGCTAGATTTAGGGGCCGCAATTAATGTAATGCCTAAATCTGTTTATATCGCCCTAGGAATCAAAGCAGTCAAACCCACCAGTGTTGTGTTACAGTTAGCTGATAGGTCCATTAGGCACCCTGATGGTATCTTAGAGGACATATTGGTTAAAGTGAAAGACCTCGTTTTCCCAGCTGATTTCTATGTCCTAGATGTGTCTAATGAGTTAGCCAGTGAATCCACTCTCATCCTAGGTAGGCCCTTCCTTAGAACAGCAAATACCATTATCGATATGAAAGAAGGTGCCATAACCATGGAGGTTGGGAATCATAAGATATGCCTTAACATGTATGAAGCCATGAAACACCCATATGAGGATTACTCTTTGTTAGGTGTTAATGCTATTGATTTGGCCATTGAAGAGGCAAGGGATGATTTTGAATTGAATTTGCATGATGATAACTACTTGCCTATGCCTGTTGAACATGATTCTTCTGAGCTTAATGATGCCATGTCTGCTTATGATGAGTATTTTTCCTCTCTTCCTTCTATATACTCTCTTTCTGATACTTGTGATAGCGACATGATATATTCTGATTTTGAGATTAGCAGTACCCTCTCCACTTCACAGGTTTATACCTTTTCTCTCTGTGATACTGACTCTGCTTTTGCAAGTGACCTTAGTTTGGGAAAGGATTTGCTTCGTGAATGTGCAGATACTTTTATGGAATCTGAGATTGTAGCTGAAAGTGATAATGTTGGCTCAACAGAGAGGCCAATTCCATCTAGTTCCCCTACTCATGTCTTTGATCAGCAACCAAGGCAATCTTTACCTAAGGATAAAGGGCATTATGAGAACATTCACTTGCACTTTCTAATCACTCTATTATTTCTCCTCATACTTTGAAATACTTGCAAGATCTTGTTTCTAGTTGTGATGCAGGTGTGAAGGATGAAAACCCAAGTTTGTTGCTGCTATAGGTCAACCTGAAGTTGACTCAACACTTGGGAAGGCCAATGAGCAAAAGGTAGATTCAAGGAGCTGAATCTAAGCTACCTAGTTGAGGCTACAAAAGGGAGTTCTCTTTGTTCTCTTAAACTCCCTAAGTTAATCCCTTCTATTGTTCAACCCCCGACCCTTGAACTGAAGTCTCTACCTTCTAATCTTAAATATGCATTTCTTGAGCATGATGAACACTTGCCTGTGATTATTTCAAATGCTTTATCCGCTGATGAAGAGGCTAAGTTGCTTTGTGTGCTTAGGAAAAACAGAGAGGCGATTGGGTGGACATTAGCTGATATTCCTGGGATCAGTCCAACTGTTTGTACCCATAGGATACTACTTACTGAGGACTCCAAACCTGTTAGACAGCCCCAGAGGCGTCTTAACCCATTGATCCTAGATGTTGTGAGAAAAGAAGTCACCAAACTTTTGAGTGCAGGGATCATATATCCTATTTCTGATAGTGAGTGGGTTAGTCCGGTTCAGGTAGTACCTAAGAAGAGTGGGTTGACTGTAGTTAAAAATGACAATGATGAGTTAATCCCCACTAGGGTTCAAAATTCGTGGCGGGTATGCATTGATTATAGGAGGCTTAATGAAGCCACTAGGAAGGACCATTTCCCATTGCCTTTTATTGATCAGATGTTAGAGAGATTAGCGGGAAAGAGTCATTACTGCTTCTTAGATGGGTTCTCTGGATACTTTCAAATCCCTATAGCTCCTGAGGATCAAGAGAAGACCACTTTCACCTGCCCGTTTGGTACTTTTGCTTATAGGAGGATGCCTTTTGGTCTTTGTAATGCTCCTGGTACTTTTCAACGCTGCATGATGTCTATATTTTATGATTTTCTTGAGCATTGCATGGATGTTTTCATGGATGATTTTACAGTTTATGGTGAGTCATTTGATGCTTGCTTATCTAGTCTTGATCAAATCCTAGCTCGATGTATTGAGAAGAAGCTCGTTTTGAACTATGAGAAATGTCATTTCATGGTAACTCAAGGCATCGTGCTAGGACATGTGATTTCTAAAAATGGTATTCAGGTTGACAAGGCAAAAGTTGAGGTTATTTCTTCCTTGCCCTACCCTTCTTCACTTAAGGACTTAAGATCCTTTCTGGGGCATGTTGGTTTTTACCGCAGATTCATAAAAGATTTTAGCAAAATATCTCTGCCTTTGTCAAAGCTTCTTCAAAAAGATGTTGACTTTGTTTTTGATGATAACTGTAAGCATGCATTTGATGAACTGAGACATAGACTGATTACCCCTCCTATTCTGACTGCCCCTAACTGGGAACTTGCCTTTGAACTGTCTTGTGATGCTTCTAATGGTGCTGTTGGAGCAATGCTTGGCCAAAGAGATGGTAAGGTCTCTAAGGTCATTGCTTATGCATCAAAAACTTTGGATGCTGCTTAGTGTAATTATACAACCACTGAGAAAGAGTTGTTTGCCATTGTGTTTGCTTTGGATAAATTTAGGCCATATTTGATCAACTCTAAGGTTGTAGTGTTCACAGATCATGCAGCTGTTCGGTATTTGTTTAAAAAGCCACAGTCTAAGCCTCGGCTGCTCCGTTGGGCTCTACTTATGCAAGAATTCAATATTGAGATCAAGGATCGAGCCGGAGCAGAGAATCATGTTGCAGATCATCTCAGTCGACTTCCTAGTGATACAAGGGGAGTAGATGATTCTAATTTAGTTTGTGATGATTTTCCTGATGTTGCTCTATGTGCTGTGGGTTTGAAAGAACCCTGGTTTGCTGACTTGGTTAATTATTTGGTATTAGGATTGATTCCTGATTATTTGTCTCCATTTCAGGTGAAGAAGCTCAAGAGAGAAGCCCAGTACTATGTATGGGATGAACCACACCTGTGGAGAATTGCAATGACCAGATCATTAGAAAATGTGTACCAGAGACAGAATTCCAATCCATCCTTTCTGCCTGCCATTCATTGAGTTGTGGGGGACACTTTAGCGCTAAAAAGACCTCTAGGAAAGTATTAGATGCTGGATTTTACTGGCCAACTTTGTTTAAGGATGCTTATTTATATTGTAAGGCATGTGATAAATGCCAGAGGTTTGGGGGGCTAGGTAAAAGGCATGAAATGCCGCAGCACCATATGTTATTCTGTGAGGTATTTGATGTTTGGGGAATTGATTTTATGGGTCCCTTTCCACCGTCTGCAGGTTTTAATTACATCTTGTTAGCAGTAGATTACTTATCTAGGTGGGTAGAAGCCATCCCTACTAGGAAAGATGACGGCCAAACGGTCTCCAAGTTTCTTAAGTCTATCTTTTGTAGATTTGGGGTACCAAGGGCTATAATAAGTGACAGAGGTACCCATTTTTGCAACCGGATTATCAATGGTTTGCTTGCAAAGTTTGGGGTTACCCACAAAACATCCACTGCTTATCATCCACAGACAAATGGGCAAGCAGAAGTTTCTAACAGAGAAATCAAGCAGATCTTAGAAAAGATAGTGAAGCCTTCGAGAAAGGATTGGAGCTTGAGGTTGGAAGAAGCACTCTGGGCATATAGAACTGCCTTCAAAACACCGATAGGAATGTCCCCATACCGGCTTGTTTATGGGAAAGCATGTCATATTCCGGTTGAACTGGAGCATAAGACCTACTGGGCAGTGAAGATGTGCAATATGGACCTAGAGGAATCTGGTCTGGAAAGGAAGTTGCAGTTACAGGAACTAGAAGAGATGCGGTTGGACGCTTATGAGAGTTCCCGCATATATAAAGAGAAAACCAAGCAGATTCATGACCAAAGATACTGCGAAAGCACTTTCAAGCTGGTGACCAAGTACTACTTTTCAAAGCCCGATTTGCACTCAAACCAGGAAAGTTTAAAACCCGTTGGGATGGGCCATACAAAGTCACCAAAGTGCATGACTTCGGGACGGTAGAGCTACTTGATGAGGCTAGTGGATCAGAATTCAAAGTCAATGGACACCTTCTCAAGCTCTACCACGACAGTACAAAACCTCCATGAGGCCAGGTTGTCCCTTTCCTCTCTCTATCTCTCATATCATGCATATGTCTGCCTGTGAAATGTTTTGAACATGAATGTTTGAGATAAGTGTGGGGGGAGGGCCATTCCAGTAGTAGTAGTTAGGATTAGTTTTTTTTTTTTTTTCTTTCCCTTCTTGTTAGTTAATAAATGCTCCAAGCTCTCTACTTTACCCACTCAACACTTAGTCTTTACATGGGAGTCTGGTAAGGATAGTGTGTTTTGAAATACATTGAGGACAATGTATTGACTAAGTGTGGGGGAGGACCTCCATTTTCTACATTTGTGAGCCTTTCTATTTCACATTGAAATTCTTTGATTGATTGAGCCCTACTAATTCTGCCATTAGTATTGGTGATTCTGTTGCTCACTATGCCCCGTACTTTGACTATTGCTACTCTGTTTTGAAAAAAAAAAAAAACAGAGAGACTTTCACTAGTTTAATTTTGAGTTATGCTT